ATACTGTATAAAATTAATGTGACTTGCTTTATTGCAATATTTGTTTATTGTGATAGTCTTGGAATCAAACTCACAATATATCCGAGGTATGCCTGTAGCTGGATGCCAGGATATCCAATATCTACTGGGTGTAAGTATGGAGAACTGGGACAATCATTGTGGGAATTTTATACAGTATGTGTGTGTTTTTCCTTACAGTTAGAAACCGTAAACAATTTGAGTTCCAGTACAAAAGCAGAGTTTGTGAATTCAGAATCAAAATCTTTAATGGAGTATAATAAACAGATGCAAGTAGTGACTATGACAATAACTTTTATGTATAAATCAGTTTCCAATTCTTTGAGACTCAGATTCATCTTAAATAAATGGGAAAACCTGCAAGTATGCAGCAGAATTTGTAACCATATATCTATATAGCATAATCAAAATATTGCCTCCGCATTTTTGATTGGTGGGTTTGGGAGAGAAATAAAAGGTAGAGAAGGATTCATCTGATGTATGTAACATTTATGGAATGTTCATTTTCAGGCAACAAGCTGAATTTATATGCGGTCTTATGTTGCCATCTGTTGGGAGCTCTTGGGATAAAAAAAGTGTTTTTGTCCTTTTTTATCTACAAGTTGGCATAGACTACAAAAATGTGTTGCACATATCAATAAGGTTTCATACTTCATTTTTGAAGTAATTTATCTTTTTCAAAGTAATAATTAGATCTTTTTTTAGATCAGGCCTTTAGTATTTGCAGTATGAAATATTAACTTTTAATCTTGTTTATAGAATAAATGTATGTTATTTATTCTATTTAATTCCATCATGCAAGATACCGGCTTTTTATCCTCCTGAAGTGACTCTATATTATGGGAATAATCACTCAGTGCAAGCATGTATGGGAATTTCTATCTGGATCTCCTTGGTTTGAGTGTGACTCAAGACAATGGCCACTATAACATTTCCTTTCCTTATTTTATATATGTGTGAGGGAGATAAAGGAGGGAAAAAGCAAACATTTACCCAAAGAAGTACAAATAAAAAGGCAGAACAATGAGACATAAATAACACATGAAACATGAGCAAATATATAAGTGCTTTGAGAGGTGAAACATATTGAAAACTCTGATTAAATGTCAGTGCACCACAGTAGTGGGGTGTGATGTAGGTTTGCAAAGCAGTGACTAAATTAGATACCATATCTTGCATAGAATTATATGAACGTGCTTGGGGTAAAACTAGGCTATGTTTATGCTTTGGGGTGATAACTGACTAAGATTGTTTTTATTGTTACTAGAAAAGGTGGCATTTGTAGGACTAAGGCTCATAACCTAGTCTACATTTTCTTTGTTTTACTAAGAAGTGCAATATGAAAAACTCATTTGACCAAAGTTATGATGGGCAGCAGTGATCAATATCTAATGAACCTGGCTTATTGAAGATTGACAATGTAAGAGGATAATTTGGTAAATGGCATAAATGAAATGAAATGAAAGAAGAGAAAATAGATATGTTGTGTGCCTCGAAAGCTAAGAGAAAGGATGTAATAGTTCTAATCTTGATGATGAATACATATAAACTAGTTGTAGATTTTATTATGAAAAAAAAGACTAAAATGAACATTAGAAAGTATAGATAGATATTTTGTATGATTTTAAGAATATAATTTTATTAATCATTAATGCTTTGGATTGTCTGCTTATTATAAAATAATTTATACATATCTCACTGATGTATGTAATAGTTAATTTGAGTAGCCCAAGAACTTCTTTATAATCATCCAAATAATCCTAGAAGTTTAAGTTCAAATTCTCCGAAAGAAAGCCTTCTGCTTGTTTCAGTATAGCTACTGCATACAACTTTCAGTACTGTTTCCTTCTTTTCAGACATGATTTATTGTGAATTTATTGAAAATGAATGCCATTACTTTTTGAAATCCAATACAAGCAATATGTTCAAATTTGTCCCCAATTCACAACTGATTATTTTTTTCACTTCTAATTTGAAGATACATTTGTTCAGAAGCTCTTGAGAGATTGTCACAGTGAAGGACTCCAATTTCTAGTACTAAAAGAAAGAAAAGAAAAGAAAGAAAAAAGAAAGGAAATCATTTTTATTTTCTAATCAGTTTCTGCAAAGTGAATCAGATTACACACTTTGTATATTTTTAACAAGTATACCCCGAAATTTGACTGATACTAAGCATTGCGTATTGATTTTGGTTAGTGATAGACAGGACGCCTATAAGAAATCCTGTGTAAAATACAAACATGCAAACTGAATATACTTGCAAAATTAAATATACTGAATATACTTGCAAAATTAAATAATGCTAAACTTTAAAATATGGCATTCGCAAGTATATTCAGTTTGCATGTTTGTATTTTACACAGGATTTCTTATAGGCGTCCTGTCTATTCACTAACCAAAATCAATATGCAATGCTTAGTATCAGTCCAATTTCGGGGTATACTTGTTAAAAATATACAAAGTGTGTAATCTGATTCACTTTGCAGAAACTGATTAGAAAATAANTTCTACAGAACTGTGTCACTCTCAATGAAGGATGAATTTTGAAAGAAGAGAAGCAGGTAAAGGATTGCTGTCTTTCTCTTAGTCCAAACATATTGAAATATAGAATTAGTGTTACAGCTCTATATAGTTCTTTTCCAGCACATTCACATACAGTATTTTGCTTGGCCTTATTTATTTGTGTTCCTTTCTGTACTCCATAGTAGCTATTTATAGTTTGGGAGGTTAATCAGCTGTTGATCGAGGATGTAGATATAAGATTGTGTTGTTCAGTTTTCATTGCTAAACATTTATATATAAATGTTATAAATTTGGTATTTATAACAACATTCTCTTTTTGAAGCATCAACCAGATCTTGGCATTGGTGTCCATTTGATGGATAGATATACATTTTACGTCTTGGAATTTTTAGAAGAAATTAACCCAGCAAGCCAGACGAATATGAATGACCTGGTAAATACTTATTTAACTTGCTATTCATGAAACCGCTACTGGAAAGCTGTGTGTTTTGTATAATTTTATATAATCCTTTTAACATCCATTCCTATTTTCCCCATTGTCACTGTATTGCATCAAATTGTGAAGAAAATATTTTTTTTCTAGTTTTAAATGCCAAAAATGAGATTTGCTCGTTAAATTAGCCTTAAATCTAGGGCTTAAATCTACATTATCTTATTAAAAAATAATCCTCTTACAGCATGGAATCTTAGTAGCAAATCTGTGTTTTTCATTCTAACCACTCTATGCTGAAGTTTGAATTGTTTCTAGATGGCCTACAATACTGTCTTTCAGCTCAATTATATTAAAAAGTTATATTATGCAAGATTCCTGACTCAAGCTGAAAAACATCTTAGCCTTGATTGAAGTTAAATGTAAGAATTAATTGCAGAGTGAAAAAAAGAAGCATAAGTGATTGGTAGAACATAAATCTCAATGAACAAAAGATGTGACTGCCATCTCTAATTAAAGAATCAAGTTTGTAGTTGCTAGGAAGATTTTTGGTTGTGGTACTGGAAAGGTCCTGTGTAATAAAGCAAATAATCTCATGATATGAGATAGCTTCATGGATTTGACTAGTAGAAGAAAGCCAATAGATCTGCCAATGGAAAGGATCTGGGCATTTTATGGCCTATGGGCAGTCCCAATCTGGCTCTCAGCAGTGTGGGGCAGGTTCTGGCAGCCTTGGTGGTGAAAAATCATTGGCAGGGGGTGAGGCTTCGGCAGGGGTCAGCAGCAGAGAGCAGGGCGGGGCATTGGTGGTAGGGGACACGTGGCCTTCCACAACAGT